CTGAGGCAGCCCCAGTGTCCCATTGGGCACATGGAATTTATGTCCTGTCTACAGTCTTATGCCCAGTGTGCGACAGCACAAATTCGTCAATTAAAGTCAAAGTCTGGTGGAAAATGAAACAAGTTTTTGGGATTTAAAGTGTGTCTGTAGAAAATATTGTCAGATCAGGCATTGTTTGGAAACCAAGTATAAGCCTTATGGAATTCCTGCTGAAGTGGATTCGTCTTCATGGATTTCTCTAGCCTTTCCAGGTGACTAGTAGCATTTGGTCTATTCTTGCATCTTGTTTGATTCCTGTCTAGATATCACTGCATTGGATTATAATCTCATGCTTTTTGGACATTGTTTTTGATTGCTACATTTTGGACACTGTTTTATCTGGCTGCCTTTGAATGCCTTATTGCTTTTTTGCAATCTTATCTATCATTACAAGCATTTATTTCTACTGGCTTTTTTGCTAAGCTATAATAAAAAAGGATTGTTCCTTCATTCAACATGTGGTGTGTTTTAGTCAGAAGGGCTATTTCCTGTTTTGCAGTGCAACACAAACTGAATCCAATGTTGACCAAAAACTGATTTGTAACCCAAAGTGTCCCCGGTCAAAAAAAAAGTTGGGAACCACTGTGTTAGAGGATGTTTGGGAGTACTAAGCACCACCCTTACTTTGATGCAGGGTGGAGGTTTAATTCAGCCCCTAGCATTCAGCATTTGGCCATCTGTGATTAACAACACAATGTATTACAGAACACAATTATCCCAACCTCCTAAATCCTACCTCTGTGTCATTGCGTTGCCAAAGTCAACGTCTGTGTTTGTTTTCCTCCCTGTTTTTCAGATTACTTTGCTGCTTTTCTGGCAGGCCCAAACATTTGATTACATAAATTTGAATTAAATGTCCTTGACCGTGTTCATTGCTTTGAGGATAGGATTGTCCAACCGTCGTTTGTTTGCCAGCTTTCCAGCTTGGTCTTATCATTGTTTCTAAAGATCTGTGATAAGGTTTTAGCACTTGCTGTCAAAGGCCATATTGCATTTGCCATCTTTTATTACTGCCACCGAAACGAGCAAATAGTCTTTAGTCTCAGCTTAAATTATACTTTTGTTCCATTAGCGAAGCAGTCTTTGTAAACAGACACTAAAACAATGTATGGACAATGTTTACTCTCCTATTAATTTTTGAGAGAATGAGGCTGATCCTCGGAGCTTACCGGGTTGAATGTGGTTTCAATATCAAAGAGGTCTTGTTTCAATATGGAAGAGAAATCTCCTGGGCTTCTTCTACTCCCCCAAGGAGAACCTACGTCTTTTATTCTGTTGACACTGAGTAAGTTCAAACTACAGTGATCCATCAAGCATGGCACTCTCTGAATATTACCTAAGTCCCAATAAACTCTCAGTGAGTAATTCATTGAGTTCAGCAGGCTTTAATGAGGACTTAAAAGCTTGCTTCTCTGTGTAAGTTTCAGGATTTTACTGAGGAAAGTAAAATTAGATTGACCTAAAGACCGATAGCAGAAGAGTATTCAAATAATGGAGGGGGGGGGGGGGAGAAACACTACAAATCATTAAATATTGGGATATTCCTTTTCCTCTTTCAGTTGCGAAATCTCTGCTCAGAAAAAGAGCTTTCCTGTATGCATCTGTTATGCTTTTGGAATAGTCTGCCCATCATCCTGCACTTCCCAGCAGTAGACATCATTTGCCCATGATCCTGCAGTAAGAAAATTACCTGGCAATACTGGGGGACTGAAAGCCAAACAACCAATGCTGTCATCAGGCGGCAATGAAACGTCAATATCCTTCATTGCATTGCGATTATTTGTTGATGTGTTACCAAACATACTCATGCCACCAGTTCCAAATCCTTATGTTGACCCAAACAAACTCATTTTGGCCCTACTGATGGCTCCCTTCCACTTCCTTCACGCAGCTCTCTTCCCTCAATGCCTTGCCAGGCGGTAATAAGGGCCACGTCATTCAATTTTTAAAATATATGTATATATTTAATTTTTAATTTTTTTAATTTTTTAAAAAAAATTAAAAGTTTTTCTCTGCAGTGTTGCTGAAGAATTAAAACCGAGACACGTTTGCCAGAATAAACCCTCCCCAAGAAAATGATGACAGTGAAGTTTCAGTGGGACCAAGCTGGGATCCGATTATGTGCCAGGAAATAATCGACTTGATACACAACCTAAAGCCAAATAAGGCCCCGGGCAGTGATGCCATTACCCCTGAAATACTGAAGGCAAACCCACTATGGTGGGCAAACCTGCTAGCAAACCTTTTTACAAGGAGCAATGAAACGGGGTCCATGCCAAAGGCAACATTTACACTTGTTTCCAACAGACAAAGGTTATTTCTCCCACCCTGGACATTATTCCACAGATATAAACCCAATTTTCCTAGTTTCCAATAGACCTCACAACCTCTGAGGATGCCAACCATAGATGTAGGCAAAACGTCAGGAGAGAATGCTTCTGGAACATGGACATACAGCCCGGAAAACTCACAACAACCCAGTGATTTTGGCCTTTGACAAATACATTAAATCCATCTTTATTTTTCAAGTCACTTCATAAATTACTTAAACGTGGCCCTATTGTATTTTGATACACAAAGGTGATATGCACTTTAGAATAATTGGGAAAAGGCTGGAGAAGGGTTTATAAAGACAGAGAAGGGTTTATAAAGACATTGTGTTGATATCCAAAAATAAAAAAAGACATCCAAATTGTACTGCACCCTCCCTCAACCCCATCCTTTATTGTAACTCTCATTATATCAACATCTTACTATAATCCGTCTCCCGTCCACTATTTGGATCCAGCCATAGATGTAGGCAAAATGTCAGGAGAGAATGCTTCTGGGACATGGCCATACAGCCTGGAAAACTCACAACAACCCAGTGATTTTGGCCTTTGACAAATACATTAAATCCATCTTTATTTTGCAAGTCACTTCATAAATGACTTAAACGTGGCCCTATTGTATTTTGATACACAAAGGTGGCATGCACTTTAGAATAATGAGGAAAAGGCTGGAGAAGGGTTTATAAGGACATTATGTCGATATCCAAAAATAAAAAAGACATCCAAATTGTACTGGACCCTCCCACAACCCCATCCCCAGCATACTTTATTGCAACTCTCATTATATCAACATCTTACTATAATCCGTCTCCTGTCCACTATTTGGATTCGACAAAATGCATCTTCACTATCTCTTTACATCAAAGGTATGGCAGAGATAATGCCAGTTTTAAGTCAATGTAAAATAGCTGGAGGGGAAAGATAGCCTTGAGTGCCTTCATCATTGTTGTTTATTCCAACCTCACCTCACCCTTGAACAAACTCCTCTCTCGTCTGAGAGCAGTCGAAAATAGCCACCATCACTTCCCTGATTGTCGTAATTTAATTAAATAACCTTTCACACCAAGCAAACCCAAAAGCAAAAAGGCTCATTAATCTTTCTAGTGATTAGAGATGCCTCGAGAGCTTCGAACATTTACCTCTCCTTCCCAGCAGCAGAAATGGATTTAGGAGGATCATGGTTCATACCTCGCATTCCCTGGAGCCAGAAATGGTATACGTGCAGGGTCCAGATCCATTAACCGATACATCCATGGTCTCGGAATTTGTAGGCTTGTAGTCCACATAATACTCCTGTAAAGGGGAGTTCATTTGCCTTTCTGACTCTCGGGCTTTTTTCCGACGCCTCTTCATAAGAGAGTGTTGCTGGAGCTGTTTCATGCTGGCAGGGTAACGCTTCCAGGAGACATAAATGACCAACAGAATCATTGCCACCGAAAGAAAGAGGGCAACGCTTCCAGCAATAATCTTGTGAAAGGAAACATGCTCATACTCGAGTTCGGGTCCAGATGTTGGAAACTCCGGAGAAGGGCTTGGTGTAAACGATGTCAGTTGATAGTCTTCCAGTTTGGGAAGAGTAGGCTTGGGGACAAAAATGGGCCTCTGTTGAGTTTTAGGTGCCTGGTACGGCTTCTCGGTGACAACCACTGGGATTTCGGCACAGATGTTGTAGGTTTCGACAGCATCACTCACCTTTTCGCCTTGGATATGCTTGGGACCTGCACAAATCATGGTGCTTTCCTTGTTCCCCTTGAAGTTTTTAAGCCAGGTAAACAGGGGGCAAATACTCCGAGTACATTCCCACATATTTCCAGACAAGGTGATGGATATTAAAGAAATCCAGGCATTGACAGTCTCCTGAGAGATATTGGTCAGTTTGTTGGAATCCAAATTGAGCTTCTGCAAATTGGGCAGGCACTGGAACGTCCCAGGTTCAATCCCCGCAATATCATTCCCTGATAAATCCAAGTTGTGTAAGGAACTCCAAGTCCATGTTAACCCTTGGCTAATGGACCGGATCTTATTCCACTGCAAGTAAATGGAGCGCAGGCTAAAGAGACGTGGAAAGTGAGCAAAGTTGATTTTCGAAAACTGGTTGTGCTCCAAGTGGAGCTCGGTGAGCTTCAAGAGGCCGGCGAACGCATTGCGGGACAAACTCCGCAGGCGGTTGTAACCCAAATCCAGAAAGTCGAGATTGCGGCAATCTTGGAAAACTCGAATCGGAACAGTCTTCAACGAGTTGGACCGTAAGTGCAAGATCAAGAGCTTGCGGAGACCTTTGAACTGCTCAGATTGCAATGCCTGCAGCTTGTTGTACGACAGGTCCAGGTTGCGGAGGTTGGGGACTGGGTGAAATGTTTTGTTGTGCAGATGAGTGATTTTATTGGAGCTCAGGATTAATTCCTTCAGCCTACGGATGCCCTGGAAGGCATCCTCGTCTACGGAACCGATGTAATTGTGGTCAAGGTACAGCCATATGAGTTGGTGAAGGCCTGCAAACTGATTTGGTTTGAGCTTCTGGATGCTGTTGTACCGCAATGATAAACCTTGAGATCCTCCAGAAATGTTTTGAGGAATGTCTCTAAAAGCATGAGACTCACAATAGACAATTTTGCCATCACATCTGCAGTTTTTGGGGCAGGCTCGTTGAGCCCCTGTCAATGTCACAAACAGCACTGTAGGAAGGAGCACGAAGACTGCACTCATGCCTCTCAGGTGCTTAATTACATGGAAACCTGTAATATTAGAAAAATGACAGACATTGTCAAGTCATTCCAATCAACCAGGAGCAGCTATGCAATAGAACGACTTCTAATATTGCCTAACAGGTCTAGCTAGATCCAAGGCTGTCTCCTATTTCCTTTGATTCTTTTGCATGGTAATGCTTCTTCTTCAGTCCCTTATTTCACTGCTTTATCATTCCCTTCCCATGAAAATACCCACTCCTCATTATCTCAGTATAATTTATGATTTTTAAAAATATTTTTCATTTAATTCCGTGTATATCACCATGGGGGCCCCTGGTGGCACAGCAGGATAAACTGCCGAGCTGCTGAACTTGCTGACTAAAATATCAGTGGTTCGAATCCGGGATGCAGGGTGAGCTCCTACTGTTAGCCCCAGCTTCTGCCAACCTGGCAGTTCGAAAACATGCAAATGTGAGTAGATCAATAGGAACCGCTTCTGCGGGAAGGTAGCGGCACTCCATGCAGTCATGCTGGCCAAATGACCTTAGAGGTGGCTACGGACAATGCCGATTCTTTGGCTTAGAAATGGAGATGAGCACCACCCCCCAGAGTTGGATATCACTAGACTTAATGACAAGGGGAAACCTTTGCCTTTACTATATCACTATTATAACGATTAACCAGAAGACCTAGGATCCCAACAATAAACCTGCTTGTCAAATCACCAGGAAAGCAAATCAGTGTTTCTGAATAATCCTGTACCTTTGGGCATCTCAAGAGCCATACAAACAACCATACAAATGTGTTTGTTTTTTTTTGGAAAGCAGAAGAAAGTAACAGTTTGGGAAACTGCAAAAATACATTGGGGGGTAAACATGATTCGAAAAGCATGCAAAGAAGGGCAGTTTCATGTGAGTTAAACCTAAGGCAAACATGGAGTAATGTGGGCTTGCACACATGTCTAATGTGCCTTATTTTGTGTGGGAGAAAATCTCCGCAAATATGGCCAATGCAAATCTATCTTCCTATATATTTTTTACTGACAGCAGTGTCATACAAGAGAGAAGGGAGGGAGGGATTTATTTGTGTGTGAGTTTTTGTGTTTGTGTGGCACAGGCAGCTGCTTTTCGGAGTCATATTAATTTATCCAGACACACTTGGTATCACCACAGCAGCAAAAGGGCAAAACCTGCACCAGAATCTTCCCCTCTACTTGCTCCCAATTTCTGCCTGTTTTCATATTTCACAACTGACATCCTGAGCAACTTAACGGCACTGTAATTCCAATGCGCCTGCAGCCCGCAATTCCCACATTCCCTGAATAACAGAGGTCTCGGAAAAGCATCGCTCACAAGCCTTGTGTATGTGTGATTTGTGGAGTGGAGAACTGGAAGAGGAGGGTAGAATTTTTTTTGACACTGTCGTCTTTTGATCCAATAGATCTTTCCAGAGTTTGGGAATCGTTCTGGGAAAAAAAAACCCAGTTGCATTCTTCCATCGGGGAAATTTGGAAGCAGCTCTGATTCCCCCAGTAACAAATAATACCATTGTTATTATTGGGAGAGAAAAAGAGGGAGAAGGAAGAGTGGGACAGCACAAGGAAGGGAGAATATGCAGATATTTCTCTGATGTTTCAGTCTGAAATCAAGAGGTGATGTGCTGGAGAGCGGCGAAGTGTGGAGAATTCCTAATCAAAAGAGCTTTTGACTCTCCTCTCTGATCTCCCCCCTCCTTCCCCACTTTAATGGTGAGCTTTTTCCCCCCATTTAAATTCTGATCTTCTTTCATCCCCCCCCCCCTTCTTAGAACATTCCCCATCTATGCCAGGAATACCAACCAAATCCAACCCAGAATTTATAGATTGACGGGGAAAATATAAACACAGAATTGGGAGAGTTGGTGGCGCTGCTATGGTGGATTAAGCTATGGAATGACTGCTGGGGATATAGCGGCTCTTTTGGAAGGGATCCTGAATGTGGATGCAACATGCCTTTGTGTACTTTTGCATGGGCACACACACCCTATCAACCTTCCTAATGCCGCGACCCCTTAATACAGTTCCTCATGTTGTGTTGACCCCCAACCATAACATTATTTCCATTGCTACTTCATAACTGTAATTTTGCAACTGTTATGAATCGTAATGTAAATATCTGATATGCAGATGTATTTTCATTCACTGGACCAAATTTGGCACAAATACCCGATATGCCCAAATTTGAATACTGGTGGGTGGGGGGGGGGTTGATTTTGTCATTTGGGATTTATAGTTCACCTACAATCAAAGCGCATTCTGGACTCCACCAACGATGGAATTGAACCAAACTTGCCACACATAACTCCCATGAACAAGAGAAAATACTGGAAGGGTTTGGTGGGCATTGACCTTGCGTTTTGGAGTTGTAGTTCACCTACATCCAGAGAGCACTGTGGACTCAAACAATGATGTATCTGGACCAAACTTGGCACAAATACTCAATATGCCCAAATGTGAACTCTGGTGGAGTTTGGGGAAAATAGATCTTGTCATTTGGGAGTTGTAGTTGCTGGGATTTATAGTTCACCTACAATCAAATAATATTCTGAACCTCACCAACGAACTTCAACAGGGACAAATGCAAGATACTCCACTTTGGCAGGAAAAACGAAATGCCAAGATACAGAATGGGGGACAATGCCTGGCTCGAGAGCAGTACGTGTGAAAAAGATCTTGGAGTCCTCGTGGACAACAAGTTAAACATGAGCCAACAATGTGATGTGGCGGCAAAAAAAGCCAATGGGATTTTGGCCTGCATCAATAGGAGCAGTGTCTAGATCTAAGGAAGTAATGCTACCCCTCTATTCTGCTTTGGTTAGACCACACCTGGAATATTGTGTCCAATTCTGGGCACCACAATTCAAGAGAGATATTGACAAGCTGGAATGTGTCCAGAGGAGGGTGACTAAAATGATCAAGGGTCTGGAGAACAAGCCCTATGAGGAGCGGCTTAAGGAGCTGGGCATGTTTAGCCTGAAGAAGAGAAGGATGAGAGGAGATATGATAGCCATGTATAAATATGTGAGAGGAAGCCACAGGGAGGAGGGAGCAAGCTTGTTTACTGCTTCCATGGAGATTAGGACACGAAACAATGGCTTCAAACTACAAGAAAGGAGATTCCATCTGAACATGAGGAAGAACTTCCTGACTGTGAGAGCCGTTCAGCAGTGGAACTCTCTGCCCCGGAGTGTGGTGGAGGCTCCTTCTTTGGAAGCTTTGAAACAGAGGCTGGATGGCCATCTGTCAGGGGTGATTTGAATGCAATATTCCTGCTTCTTGGCAGAATGGGGTTGGACTGGATGGCCCATGAGGTCTCTTCCAACTCTTTGATTCTGATTCTATGAAATTCCACACTTCCCACACAGAATCCCCATAACCAACAGAAAATACTGTGCTTTCTGATAGTCTTTGGCGACCCCTCTGACACCCCCTCGCAACCCTCTTCGGGGTCCTGACCCCCAGGTTGAGAACTACTGCTATAAAGAAAGGAAAACATGGGTAAAAAAGTCCCAAACTGCATTGAGGTATCAGTCCAGCCTAAGATCTAATAAGCAGTGTACTAAGGCCATGTATTCCAAGAGGAATTGAATACAAGGGAAGGGGGAGAAAACTGCAGGAGATAAACTATAAAGGACTAGCGGGGAGGGGAGAGAAAACTGCAGGAGATAAACTATAAAGGACTAGCCATCCCTTGCCACACATTGCTGTGTGTATGTCTGTGTGTGTATGTGTTTTCTGTGTGTATATGTGTGTGTATATGTGTACATATGTGGGTTTGCATATTTTGTGCATGTGTTGTAATGCAATTTTTGGTTTTTGCCTTTTTAAGTCCCTTCTGCTGTGTTTTTCAGTGTTTTTATGAGTAATGGTCACTTGTTGGCCTGATAGGTGTCTTGTGTCCAAATTTAGTGTCAATTCATCCAGTGGTTTTTGGGTTATGTTAATCCCACAAACGAACATTACATTTTTATTTATATAGATTAGGACAGGAAAGTGCAGATGGAGGGAAGTGAAGCAACAAGAATCTCAAAATACAGATTTGTGGCAGTAAGAAAGATGGTTGAGATTTCTTGCCAAAGGCTTTCATGGTCGGAATCACTGGGTTGCTGGCACTGCACTGATGGGAAAATTCTGGGCTAGGGTAACACTGGGTTGTTGTGAGTTTTCTGGGCTGTATGGTTATGTTCCAGAAGCATTCTCTCCTAACATTTCACCCACATCTATGGCAGGCATCCTCAGAGGTTGTGAGGTATATTGGAAACTAAGCACGGTAGGTCTATATATCTGTGGAATGTCCAGGGTAGGAGAAAGAATTTGTATCTGTTGGGGAAAAAAAGTGTTCATGTTGCAATTGATCACCTTGATTAGCATTGCAAAGCTTCAAGGCCTGGCTGATTCCTGCCTGGGGGAATCCTTTGTTGGGAGGTGTTAGCTGAAGCACTCCAAGTGGCCAGCTACTGGTCAAAGGATATTTAATCAACTACCAAACTCACAAATTTTGTATTTTGTCTGTTTGTTTGCTTTGTTCTGTTAGAAATGTAATATAATTGACTGGTTGCCCTGACATGACAAATAAAAGCTGGTCCTAATTGTTTCATATCTTGAATTCCCCTATTTCACAGCTTGTTATTTATTGTCTGAGGATGCCTGCCATAGATGTTGGAGAAACATCAGGAGAGAATGCTTCTGGAACATAGCCATACAGTCCAGAAAAGTCACAGCAACACATTGTTGGGATTTATTGTTGAAGGCTTTCATGGCTGGAATTACTGGGTTGTGGTGAGTTTTCTGGGCTCCATGGCCATGTTCCAGAAGCATTCTCTCCTGACGTTTTGCTTGCATCTACAGCAGGTATCCTCAGAGGTTGTGAGGTCTGTTGGAAACTAGGAAAATGGAGTTTATAGGATGCCTGTCATTCTGAAGCAACCACAAACTGAAAATACAGATAGAGCAAGCCATTTTAGTGGTGATAAGAAATATTGTTGGGATTTATTTTTGAAGGCTTTCATGGCTGGAATCACTGGGGTGCTGTGAGTTTTCCAGACTGTATATATAGCCATGTCTCTTGACGTTTCACCTGCATCTATGGCAGGCATCCTCGGATGTTGTGAGGTCCGTTGGAAATTAGGTTTTATAGTATGCCTGCCATAGATGCAGGTGAAACGTCAGGAGAGAATGCTTCCGGAACATGGCCATACAGCACAGAAAACTCATAGCAACCTATTGTTTAAGGCTTTCATGGCCAGAATCACTGGTTGTGGTGAGTTTTCTGGGTTCCATGTCCATGTTCCAGAAGCATTCTCTCCTGATGTTTCGCCTGCATCTATGGCAGGCATCCTCAGAGGTTGTGAGGTCTGTTGGAAACTAGGAAAATTGATGTATTGTCGAAGGCTTTCATGGCTGGAATCACTAGGTTCTTGTGGGTTTTTTCGGGTTATAGAGCCATGTTCTAGAGGTATTTCTCCTGATGTTTCGCCTGCATCTATGGCAAGCATCCTCAGAGGTTGAGAAGGTCAACATGGCCATACAGCACAGAAAACTCACAGCAATTGTTGGGATTGTTAGGTTGTTCCTTGGGTTATATATGAAGACGGACAGGCACACACACACACAACAGAGAGAGATGCAGCTCTGTCAAAGGAAATGGGGTTTATAGGATGCTTGTTGGGGTTTATTGTTGAAGGCTTTCATGGCTGGAATCACAAGTTGTTGTGAGTTTTCTGGGCTGTATGGCCATGTTCCAGAAGCATTCTCTCCTGACGTTTCACCTGCATCTATGGCAGGTATCCTCGGAGGTTGTCAGGTCTGTTGGAAACGAGGAAACTAGGATTCTCTGAGGATGCCTGCCATAGATGCAGGCGAAACATCAGGAGAGAATGCTTCTGGAACATGCCCATACAGCACAGAAAACTCATAGCAACCTATTGTTGAAGGCTTTCATAGCCGGAATCACTGGATTGTTGTGAGTTTTCTGGGCTGTATGGCCATGTTCCAGAAGCATTCTCTCCTGACGTTTCGCCTGCATCTACAGCAGGCATCCTCAGAGGTTGTGAGGCCATTTCCACAGATATATAAACCCATTTTCCTACTTCCAACAGACTTCACTACCTCTGAGGATGCTTGCCATAGATGCAGGCGAAACGTCAGGAGAAAATGCCTCTAGAACATGGCCATATAGCCCGAAAAAACCTACAACAACCCAGTGATTCCGGCCATGAAAGCCTTCGACAATACGTTGTGAGGTCTGTTGGAAACTAGGAAAATGGAGTTTATAGGATGCCTGCCATAGATGCAGGTGAAACATCAGGAGAGAATGCTTCGGGAACATGGCCATACAGCCTAGAAAACTCACAGGAACCTATTGTTGACGGCTTTCATGGCCGGAATCACTGGGTTGTTGTGAGTTTTCTGGGCTGTTTGGCTATGTTCCAGAAGCATTCTCTCCTGACGCTTTGCCATCTACAGCAGGCATCCTCAGAGGTTGTGAGGTCTGTTGGAAACTAGGAAAATGGGGTTTTGCCATAGATGCAGGTGAAACATCAGGAGAGAATGCTTCTGGATCATGGCCAAACAGCACAGAAAACTCAGAGCAACCCATTGTTGAGATTGTTAGGCTGTTATATATGAAGACAGACAGGCACACACACACACAACAGAGAGAGAGATGCAGCTCTGTCTAAGGAAGAAAAGTTCACTCACCCATCCTTTTGTCATCTGTAACGGTGCCCCCTTTTTGCTTCCTTCCAGATGTTTTCCCTTCAGAAGGATGGGTTTTGTGGTTGCTTGGGCTTCTGTCCTTGCCTGGGTTGTCCAACCCTTTCCAAGCTGATCTCTCTCTCTCTTTCCTTTTCCTTCTGCTTCCTTTAAAGCATCACAGCATCCCTGTCACCCAGAAAAGGTGAGCTTGAGAGTCCATCCCGCATCAAGGCGACCCAAAGTTCCCCAGAGAGGGGGTCATGGGAGAATTTGGAGGGTGGGAAGGAAGAAATAGGGAGGAAAGGGTTGAGAGGTGCAAGGAAGGCAAGGCTTTGGGATGGGGAAGAGGGGAGCAAGGCTCCAGGAAAGGGGGGAAAGGGGAATTGCCGGCTTCTAAAGGAGCCCCCGACGCATCCTCCTCTCCAAGCTCAGCACACAAGCACAAGGAAGGGTCCAGCTTCCAATCGGAAATGGGGGGAAGAAGGAGGGGAAAAGGAACTTCTCTCAGGGAGAGGAAAAGCAACCAGGTCCCTGGGCTGCTCTGGGGCGCATCCTTCTCCTTCCTCTCTCTCTCAATCCGCTCCTTCTTGGCATCTCCAAGCCATCCTTGTGCAAACTCCCCACCGAGGAGGATGATGACGACGATGAGGAGTGAGGATGATGGTCTTGGCAGTCGTGTTTTCCCAGAACCAGGCGCAGAAGATGCCTATTTTGTGGGCATTAAGCGAAGTCTGTCCAAAAAAAAATCCATGGAGGCGGTGGTGCGCTTTGGGGCGCTTTGGCTGGAGAGGCTCTTCTTCTCCTTCCCTCTCCTTCCGAGAAGGGCTCCCCCCCCCCAAAAAAAAAAACCCCACACTCACACACACCTCTGTCCTTTCCCTCCCCCTTCCTTTTTTTGGTCTCTCCCCCCTTTTCTTTTTTTCCCACAGAGTGATGAGATGCTCTGGAGCTCGTTGGTGCTAATGTTCCCGTTTGCGAGACACTGAGTGCCCTCCACTGGAGAAAACATCACACATTAAAAGCACGAACAAGCCAGGCTGTCATTGCTCTGCGGGCTCTCCTTCTGGCAGGGAGGAAATTAAAGACACAGGCCTCTTATTCCCCCCCCCCCCCCCCCCCCCCAACAAGGGATGGTGACTTATAGTTCACAGCAACTGGTTCTCCACTTAGATGTATTGTCGAAGGCTTTCTTGGCTGGAATCACTGGGTTGTTGTAGGTTTTTTGGGCTATATGGCCATGGTCTAGAGGCATTCTCTCCTGACATTTCGCCTGCATCTATTTATTTATTTATTTATTATATATTTATTTATTTACTGCGCTTATATACCGCAACTGGCACAACCTGGGGATCACAACCAGATACAGTGAAGACATCTGACCTTGCGCTGTGCTACTCTGCTGCTGAGTATGCATGCCCAGTGTGGAACACATCTCACCACACTAAAACAGTGGATGTGGCTCTTAATGAGACATGCCGCATTATCACGGGGTGTCTGCGCCCTACACCACTGGAGAAATTACACTGCATAGCCGGTATTGCACCACCTGACATCCGCCGGGAAGTAGCAGCCAATAGTGAAAGGACCAAGGCAGAGACATCTCCAGCTCATCCCCTGTTTGGGTATCAGCCAGCACGCCAACAACTTAAATCTAGACATAGTTTTCTAAGATCTACAGAGACACTCGCTGGAACACCTCAGCAAGCGAGAGTCCAAAAGTGGCAGGCTCAAACCCAGAACCTCAACCAATGGCTGATACCAAATGAGAGACTCCCCCCTGGGCACACAGAGGACTGGGCGACTTGGAAGGCGCTGAACAGACTGCGCTCTGGCACCACGAGATGCAGAGCCAACCTTAAGAAATGGGGCTACAAAGTGGAATCCACGACATGCGAGTGTGGAGAAGAGCAAACCACTGACCACCTGCTGCAATGCAACCTGAGTCCTGCCACATGCACAATGGAGGACCTTCTTGCAGCAACACCGGAAGCACCCCAAGTGGCCAGATACTGGTCAAAGGACATTTAATCAGCTACCAAACCCAAGTTGTGTATTTTTCTGTTTGTTTGCTTTGTTCTGTTAGACTGGTTGTTCTGACACGACAAATAAATAAATAAATAAATAAATAAATATACCGCAATTCTCAGCCCTTTAAGGGCGACTCATTGCAGTGTACAACATGAAAAAAACAAGTGCAAATTACAAAACATAGTGCAAAATAATCCACATCATTATCAGAAAAACATCTTATCAAAACATCAACATTACTACAAAATTTCTACTACATTCCGAATCGTCTCATCGTCAATCCACAATCCGATATCATTTCCGTTGTTCCATTCCTATGGTCAAATTACCAGTCATTGCACTTCTTGGTCAAATGCCTTCTTAAATAGCCAGGTCTTTAACTTCCTGCGGAATATCAACAGGGAGGGAGCTAGCCTGATGTCCACGGGAAGGGTGTTCCACAGCCGAGGAGCCACCACCGAGAAGGCCCTATCTCTCGTCCCCGTCAGCCGTGCCTGTGACGCAGGCGGGATCGAGAGCAGGGCCTCCCCGGAAGATCTCAAAGTCCTCGTGGGCTCATAGGCCGAGAGGCGGTCAGTTAGGTATCTTGGGCCGGAACCGTTTAGGGCTTTATAGGCCAATGCCAGCACCTTGAATTGAGCCCGGTAGCAGATCGGCAGCCAGTGGAGCTGGTACAGCAGGGGGGTTGTATGCTCCCTGCGTCCTGCTCCTGTTAGTATCATGGCTGCCGCACGTTGGACCAGTTGGAGCTTCTGGGCCGTCTTCAAAGGCAACCCCACGTAGAGAGCGTTGCAGTAGTCTAAGCGGGATGTAACCAGAGTGTGGACTACCGTGGCCAAGTCAGACTTCCCAAGGTACGGGCGCATCTATGGCAAGCATCCTCAGAGGTAGTGAGGTCTATTGGAACTAGGAAATAGGGTTTATATATCTGTGGAATCACTGGCCATGAGGTCACAAAGAGTCGGAGACAACTGAACGAATGAACAACAACAACAACATATGTGGAATGACCAGGGTGGGACAAAGGACTCTTGTCTGCTGGAGCTAGGTGGGAACGTTTCAACTGACCACCTTGATTAGCATATAATGGCCTGACATTGCCTGGAGCAAACTTTTGTTGAGAGGTGATTAACCATGGAAAAATTTGTTTCTAAACTCGATTCGTTTTTAAGGGGTCCATCACATTTCGTTTCTTTAAAGAATTCCGAAATTTTCCTTTTAAAAATTTCAAAATATACGAAATTTTGTAAATTTCGAATCGATTCGTTAATGGCGGACGCGATTGCGCAATATGCTAAAAAACCTTCCAAATGGGAAAATATGCTGAAAAAAACCTCCAAATGGGACAGGGGGAACTTCTGAAGCTTCCCTCTCCCTCTGTTGTTGACTGTTGGTGTGATAAAACAAACAACAACTATAAAACTTGCACCAGACATACGGAAATAATTACGAAACAATTTCGAAACAATTTCGAAACAATTTTGAACCAATTACGAAATAGTTATGAAATAAATTGAAAAATTGTTTCGAATCTATTTAACTCCTCACACTATTCCAAAATGGCTCAATATCGGATCGTAAGCTAATTTAAATACAAATTAATAACGAATTATGAAATTAACGAATGAAACCGCCCAGCCCTAATAATTAGATGTCCCTGCCTGCTTCCTCTCTGTTGTTGTGCTGTTGCAATTTTTGAGTTTTTTAAAATGCTGGTAGCCAGATTTTGTTCATTTTCATGGTTTCCTCCTTTCTGTTGAAATTGTCCACATGCTTGTGGATTTCAATGGCTTCTCTGTGTAGTCTGACATGGTGGTTGTTGGTGTGGTCCAGCATTTCTGTGTTCTCAAATAATATGCTGTGTCCAGGCTGGTTCATCAGGTGCTCTGCTATGGCTGACTTCTCTGGTTGAAGGAGTCTGCCGTGCCTTTTCACATTCCTTGATTCGTGTCTGGGCAATGCTGCTGCGTTTGGTGGTCCCTATGTAGACTTGTCCACAGCTGCATGGTATACGGTAGACTCCTGCAGAGGTGAGAGGATCCCTCTTGTCCTTTGCTTAATGTAGCAGGGCCCGCAGAAGTGAGAGCATCCCTCTTGTCCTTTGCTGAATGTAGCATTTGTTGGATTTTCTTGGTGGGTCTGTAGATTTTTGTGTTTCCTCATCAGCTTCCCTCTGTGGTCAGTGGTTCCCTTGATGTCTGGCAAGAACACTTTTTCTCTGGGTATTCCAGATATATAAACCCATTTTTCCTACTTCCAACAGACCTCACTACCTCTGAGGATGCTTGCCATAGATGCAGGCGAAACGTCAGGAGAAAAATTGCCTCCAGAACATGGCCATATAGCCCGGAAAAACCTACAACAACCCAGTGATCCTGGACATGAAAGCCTTTGACAATACATCTCCCCACAAGCCTCTCACAGCAACTGGTCTCTCCACTCATCTAGGTCTTCCTTGCACTTGAATCTATAGAAACAAAAATGTAATGTTCGTTTGTGGGATTGACACAACTCAAAAACCACTGGGTGAATTGATACCAAATTTGGACACAAGACACCTCTCAGGCCAACAAGTAACCATATCATAAAAATACTAGAAAACAAAGCAGAAGGGACTTAAAAAACAAAAAAAAACATTAAAATATTGTATTGTCGAAGGCTTTCATGGCTGGAATCACTAGGTCCTTGTGGGTTTTTTCGGGCTATATGGCCATGTTCTAGAGGCATTTCTCCTGACGTTTCGCCTGCATCTATGGCAAGCATCCTCAGAGGTAGTGAGGTCTGTTGGAAGTAGGAAAAATGGGTTTATATATCTGTGGAAAGACCAGGGTGGGACAAAGGACTTTTGTCTGCTGGGGCTAGCTGTGAATGTTTCAGCTGATCACCTTGATTAGCATTCAATGGCTTGGAAGTGCCTGGGGGGAATCTTTTGTTGAGAGTGATTTTATGTGCCTGTTTGTTTCCCCTCTGTTGTTTTGCTGTTGTAATTTTAGAGTTTTTTAATACTGGTAGCCAGATTTTGTTCATTTTCATGGTTTCCTCCTTTCTGTTGAAATTGTCCACATGCTTGTGGATTTCAATGGCTTCTCTGTGTAGTCTGACATGGTGGTTGTGAGAGTGGTCCAGCATTTCTGTGTTCTCAAATAAAATGCTGTGTCCAGGTTGGTTCATCAGGTGCTCTGCTATGGCTGATTTCTCTGGTTGAGTAGTCTGCAGTGCCTTTCATGTTCCTTGATTCGTGTTTGGGCAATGCTGCGTTTGGTGGTCCCTATGTAGACTTGTCCACAGCTGCATGGTATACAGTAGACTCCTGCAGAGTAAGTCTATACTTTTTGTTAGGCCTGGGTAACAACGGAAAAATTTGTTTCTAAAATCGATTCGTTTTTTGGGGTTTTTTGCGTTTCGTTATTTAAAATAATTACAAAATTTTCCTTTTAAAAAGTTCGATATTTACGAAATTTCGTAAATGTGAAAAAAATTACAAAACATTAACGAATCGATTTCCGAAACAATAACAAATCGATTCGTTAATGGCGGACGCAACCGCGAAATACGCTAAAAAACCTCCAAAAACTTCTGAAGTTTCCCTCTCCCTCTGTTGTTGACTGTTGGTGTGATATTATAATTTTTTTTCACTAATTAAACAAAAAACTTGCCCCAGACATGCGGAAATAATAACAAAACGACCTCAGAACAATAACGAAACGAATACAATAACGAAATACGAAGCATTTACAAAACGTGTTTAAAAATTCGTTTTTAAAAAAAATTGCTCCAGAATGGTTCGTTATCGTTTTGTAATTAAAAAAATTAACGAATTATTAACGAATTACGAATTAACGAAACGAAACCGCCCAGACCTAATATTTAGATCTCTCACTGTCATTTGTTGGATTTTCTTGGTGGGTCTGTAAGTGGTTTGTATGTTGTGTTTCCTCATCAGTTTCCCTATGTGGTCAGTGGTTCCCTTGATGTATGGCAAGAGTCCTTTGTCTCACCCTGGTCATTCCACAGATATATAAACCCAT